ACATACCACACACCACACACAACATGCAACACAGAGTACACACACCACACACAACTCACACCACACACAACAAAGAGCACATACCACACACACCACACAGCACACACAACGCACACCATACAACACAACACACAACATAACACACAGATCACGTCACACACACCACACAACACAACACATGCAACACAGAACACACAGAGCACATACCACACACAACACAGCACACAGAGCACATGCCGCAAACCACACACAACACACCAGACACACACACACCACACGCAACACACAACAGACCCTCACTCACAATACACCACACACAGAGCACACAGAGCACACAACACAGAACATACCACACATAACACAACACACACCACACAGAGTACGTACTACATACACTACCACACATACCACACACAACTCACAACACACAAAACACATCACACACAACACACTCAGAGCACACAGAGCACATACACACAACATACAGCACACAACACACAGAGCACACACTGCACACAACACAGCACACACCACACACACCACACAATATACACACCATACCACACAACACACAACACACACAACACACAGAGCACACACACAGCACAGCACACCGCACACACACCACACACCACACATAGAGCACACACCACACGCAACGCAGTGCACGCAACACACAGAGCACACACTACACATCACATGTAACACAGCACACACACCACACACATCACAAACCATACAGAACACACACCACACACAACACATACTACACCAGACACCATACACACAACACACACACTTTTCACCTCTAAATGAACAAGTCTTTTCTAAAATCACAGGCCTAGAAACCGTTTCTGCGTCCTCCTGAGGCGGGTCCTTGGTGGGCTGTGCCATCTCCACCTCCTCCCCAGCCGGGCTCCTCTCGCCATCTGGGCGGTGGCTCGTCCCTGGGGGCTGCCATATTGCTTGTCATGAAGGCGCACACCAAACGTGATTGTTTCTGCCTGTTTTCCTGTAAATCACACTGACAGGCACAGAGAGTTGGTGTTAAGCCTTTGCCCCAAAAGTTTAATTATATGCAGGCAGATGTGGGAGCACACCCACAAAACACGTGTGCACACACACACACGCATGGAGACACACCCACACACCCACACACCACAGCTCACACACACTCATGCACACATAGGGAGACACACCCACACACCACGGCTCAGGCACACACACATAGGGAGACATACCCCCACGCAACACAGCTCACACATACACACGGAGACATGCACATCCACACATCATGGCTCACATACACGCACACAGACAGGGAGTCACACACACCCACACACCACAGCTCACACACACACACAACAGGGAGACACACACATCCACACACCACAGCTCACACACACACACACACACTGGGAGACACGCACATCCACACACCATGGCTCACACATGCCCACAGGGAGACACGCACATCCACACACCATGGCTCACACATGCCCACAGGGAGACATGCACATCCACACACCACGGCTCACACACACACACAAGGAGATGCACACCCACACACCATGGCTCACATGCACACACACACATACACAGGGAGACGTGCACACCCACACACCATGGCTCACACATACCCACAGGGAGACATGCACACCCACACGCCACGGCTCACACACACACACACAGGGAGACATGCACATCCACATACCATGGCTCAGACACACACACACACATACAGGGAAACGCACATTCACACCATGGCTCACCCACACACACACACAGGGAGACATACATCCACACATCACAGCTCTCACACACACATGGACACACACACATCCACACACTATGGCTCTCTTACACACACAGGGAGACATGCACACCCACACACCATGGCTCACACACACGCACACACACACACACACACGGAGATGCACACATCCACCCACCATAGCTCAGACACACACACACAGGGAGACGCACATCCACACACCACAGGTCACACACATACAAACACACACAGGGAGATGGACACCCATATACTGTGGCTCACATGCACACACACACAGGGAGATGGACACACCCACACACCATGGCTTACACATACACACACAGGGAGACACCCACACACCATGGCTTACACATACACTCACTCACACAGGAGACACACCCACACACCACGGCTCTCACACACACACACAAACACAGGGAGATGCACCCATGTGCACACCACGGCTCAGACACACGGGGAGACACCCACACTCACACACCATGGATCTAACACACACTCACACAGGGAGATGCACATTCACACACTACGGCTCACCCAACACACACACATAGGAAGATGCACACATCCACATACCACAGCTCACAAACACACACGCACACTGGGAGGCACGCATATCCACACACCACAGTTCACACACACATGCACACACAGACACCCACATCCACACACCACAGCGCTCTCTCTCTCTCTCTCTCTCTCTCTCACATACACACACACACACACACACACACACACACAGAAGGAGACATGCACATCCACATACCATGGCTCACACACTCAGGGAGACACACACATCCACACACCACATCTTTCTCTCTCTCTCACATACACAGGGAAACACGCACATCCACACACCATGGCGCTCTCTCACACACACACACACACAGGGAGACACACACATCCACACACCATGGCTCAGACACACACACAGGGAGATGCACATTCACACACCATGGCTCACATACACATGCACACACACACACAGGCAGACACCCACATCCACAAACAGCTCACACACACACACAGGGAGACACGCACATCCACACACCATGGTTCACACATACACGGAGATGTGCACATCCACACACCATGGCTCTCACACATGCGCAAGGAGACACACATCCACACACCACAGCTCACACACACACAGGGAGATGCACATTCACACACCATGGCTCACCCACATGCACACACACGGGGAGATGCACACATCCACACACCACAGCTCACACACACACACACCACAGCTCACACACACACACACACATCCACACACCATGGCTCACATGCACATGCACACACACAGGGAGATGTATCCACACACCACAGCTCACACACACACACACACACACAGGGAGATGCACACATCCACACACCACAGCTCACACACACACACAGAGGGAAACACGCACATCCACACGCCACGGCTCTCTCACACACACACATAGGGAGACATGGACATCCACACACTCTCTCACACACAGACACACACAGAGGAGAATACACACATCCACACACCATGGTTCACACACACACAGAGATGCGCACATCCACACACCACGGCTCTCTCTCTCTTTCTCTCTCTGTCTCATACACACACACACACACACACGGAGATGAGCACATCCACACACCGTGGCTCTCTCACACACACACATAGGGAGACATGCATATCCACACACCATGGCTCACATATACACAGGGAGATGCACACATACACCACAGAACACACGCACACACACACACAGAGGGAGACACATCCACACACCACAGCTCACACACACACAACACACGGAGATGCGCACATCCACACACCATGGCGCTCTCTCTCTCTCTCTCTCTCACACACACACACACACACACACACACACACAGAGGGAGACACGCACATCCACACACCACAGCTCACACAAACACACATATAGGGAGATGCACACATCCACACACCATGGTTCACATACACAGGGAGATGTGCACATACACCACAGCATGCATACACACATGGAGATGCTCACATCCATACACGATGGCATGTGTATACACACACACACACACAGACATGCACATCCACACACCATGGCACACGCACACACACACACAGACACGCACATCCACACACCATGGCAAGCGCGCACACACACACAGAGGGAGATGTCCATATCCACACACCACAGCACACACACACACACACATACACAGAGGGAGACGTGCACATCCACACACCACGGTGCGCACAGACATACATGGAGATGTGCACATCCACACACCATGGCTCACACACACACAGGGAGACATGTACATACACACACCACAGTGCATACACACACAGAAATGTGCACATCCACACACCACGGCTCACACACACACAGAAGGAGATGTGTACATACACACACCATGGCTCACACACACACACAGGGAGAGACACACATCCACACACCATGGCTCACACGCTCACACATGGGGGGATGCACACATTCACACACCACGGCTCACACACGCTCACGCACACACATACCAGACGTACTTCCACAGAGGCATGAAACGGGAGTTTTCTCACTGGGCAGCTGGGTTACTGGCTATTCCACGGCTTCCAGAGGGCAGTTTCCACTGCGCTGCTGGCACCTGTAGCCATGGCCCCGCTGAGAACCATGAACCAGTCTCCACCCATAGTTGAGGGCATCCCCGGCTCTGGACATCTGTCCCATGGGTTTGGGGTGCACTGCCCTCCCTCCAGGAAGAAGCCTCTGCCCAGTGGGGTTGGGGTGTGCTGCACTCCCTCCTTCCAGGAAGGAGCCTCTGCCCTGTGGGGGTGGGGTGCACTGCCCTCC